CCCCCCCCCCCGTGTTCTCTTTCCTTGGCTTCCCTGAGCTTGCAAACATGCATGTACCCCACACCCTTTCCATGGCCTCCCTGCAATCACACATATGCATGCATGTACCCTGCACTCTCTTTCCACAGTCTGCCTGCAACTGCATGTGCCCTGTACCCTCTTTCCTCAGCCTCCCTGCACTCACACACATGCACCCCCATACTCTCTTTCTATGCACCGTGCACCCCCCCCCCAGGCCTCCCCCACCCCCCCCCCCCCCCCCCGTGTTCTCTTTCCTTGGCTTCCCTGAGCTTGCAAACATGCATGTACCCCACACCCTTTCCATGGCCTCCCTGCAATCACACATATGCATGCATGTACCCTGCACTCTCTTTCCACAGTCTGCCTGCAACTGCATGTGCCCTGTACCCTCTTTCCTCAGCCTCCCTGCACTCACACACATGCACCCCCATACTCTCTTTCTATGCACTGAGCACCCCCTCCCAAGGCCTCCCCCACCCCCCTGCGGCACCCCTGCACTCACCCGGGATTCCCTCCTCTTCCCACTTAACCACCTGCACATCTTGGGTTACAACAACCACCAACGGGGACTACCTGGATTGCCATTGCTAAGTGATGTGGTCATGTGACATTGCACTTTACAACCACATTGCTTAGTGACAGTGGTCCCAATTGCAGTCGTAACTCTAGGACTACCTGTATTTGCTCTATTTTTCTAAGTCACAGATAGGCAACCTGATGCCTTCCAGATGTTTTATAATTCAACCTCATTAGTTTAGCTAGCATGGGCAATGTTAAGAGCAGTCCAAAACAACTGGATGTCCCTAGCTTGCTGTGCCCTACCCTCAGCAAACAAGGTTGTAAGGCAGGCTTACCAAACTTGGTAGTTATAAAATGTACTTATTTTGGTGTGCAAATCTCTATTTTATGGGATTACCTGCGCCTTGGAGCTTCTGGAGAATCAGCAGGAGCAACTCCACGGGCTACAGAGGCCAAGAATTCTTGCCTCTTCTGTTGAACAAGGCAAGCCGCCCGGATGATTTTATGGCGAGGAGTACGAAGGTAAGGTCTGTTCACTTTTTGAGCAAGATCTTCTGTAACCATTTCAAGATCTGTCTATAATAGAAAATAATACCTATACCAACACTTAACAGGATGAATTTCCAGCAATGACCAATACATGTCATAAAAAGTGCCTGCTACATATCAGTGATGAAGACAGATACAAATATATACCTTCCCCATTCCAGTGGTTAGGGATATATTTAAAATTAACTAAGGTTACAGTGAAAAACTGAAGATTCCTATGGCTTTTTATTTTATAACTATATAATCCGCTTTAGTGGATATAAGAATGCACATTTTACCATACCAGCAACAGAATAGGAAATCCTTTGACTTCTAGAATGACAGACAACACCCCAAGAGTCTAATAAGCATAATTCCTTTGAAATTAACATTTTTAAGAACCACTTATTTCTAAAAGAAAATCTGTGATTTCAGCCCAATATCTTCTATAAGAGAGAAGAATAACCATTTAATGTGGTTGGATTGTACTTTATTAATGCAATGTAGAAAAAATTATTTGGAAAGAAACCTCAATGAAACAATCAGTTCAATCTATTAAAGCCATAACATTGTACAGGCTGAAAAGAGCTGGTTACTACTGAAATTGTTGTTCTTTGAGCATTTGTGAATGCACATATATGGGTTCTGTGCTTGTACAGAAGAAGACACAAACCAGCATACCTTGGCTAAAAGAAGGTTTATAGCAAGAGTCTGTGTGAAACCTCAGAATACTCAGGTAACAATCCTAAGGTCCAGCACAGACCTCAGCATACCTCCAAGTCTTAGTACTACTACTATTATTACTAATAATAATACTACAATATTAGATTTATATTTCTCTAGATCTTTAAGTCAACTTAGAAAAAAAATCTATGAGATAGGCTGGGCTGAGAGAATGTGACTGATCCAAAGTCGTCCAGTAAGCTTCTATGGGTGAAGTTGGATTTGAACCTGTTTCTCCCAGCTCCTAGTCCAACTTCTTAACCATTGTACCACATTGATATAAATAAGAATAAAACATATAATAAAGTTGAGTTCAAGGAAGTCTTTATATAGTGCCTTTGACAAGCAAGGTTTTTATCTCCCTCTGTCAAGGTTACTACTGTGTTGTATTTCTATAGTATAGTTGTATATCTATCAAAGCCAGTCTTTTTTCCCCACACACAACTGACAAATAAAATATTTGCAATACAAATAATTAAAACACTGACAGTAAATAAGCTAAACTTCTTTGTAAGGATGACTATTCTATAAAACTATGCCTTGAGATGTGGTGTGGGGGGCAGAATGTCTGGCCCACCCAATTGCCTGATGTCAGAGTCTTGCTATCAAGCAACTACTTCTGGTTAGTGGTGCTGATCCAAGCGGAGCTGAAGCATTGTCTTCCTATGTGACCCTTTATTATGAATCTGGTAGCCAAGAGCAATGAATAGGCCAGGAAAGCTTTTGTAAAGCTGGTGTAGTAGTGAGGATCAAAAGAATGCATTAAGCTGTATGGAGTGATTTGATCAGGCCTGCATAGTAAAGACCTGATTGTGTGGATATAAGCTTACATGCCCTTTGACTGAACAAACAAAACCCAGTTTTTCTAGCATTTTCTTAAAGGTCTGCAAAAGACAATGCAGGCCTAGAATTACTGGGCACACCTACCATATGATACAAAGATGCTGAAAGAGGAATAACTAATAAAGGTACTGCTGCAGCAATCAGAAGAGTGATGAAGATTTCATTGGGACTCCACTTAAGTGCATAATGCACATAGGATATTCAGATGTACATTACCTATATATAGTGTGTTAGTGTAGCATGCTTGCAAAAAAAAACCCCATAGGAATTGCTACTTTCTGAATTGGCTATTCAGGCACAGAACCCATATGCCTGAATCTTGATAAAGAAGAATTGCAGAACAAGGGCTACCACAAGGGTATCATTTACCTGCATCAGTTCAAATATTTCTTTCTTTGTGCTTTTTGGTTCTAGAAAGAATCCGTAAGGGTAAGAACACTTCAGAATGCGTCGCGTTTTGAGGAGTTCTTGTACTGCATCTTCAATGAATGTGGTATCAGGACAACTTCCTTCTGCTGCAAGACAAGTTCAGGTATTGCAAGTAATGTTTATTTACTTTTCTGGTTGCTGAAAACAACTATTTCAACAAGCATAGGATTTCTTCTGAATTAAACAAAAACTATTATATTGTGTAAAGTTAGAACTGTTTCTCAGCCTTGACTTCAAATTAAAAAAAATCTTTGCAAGTATACTGGTTGACCGTATTCAGATTTCTGCACTTAGTAAAACTAGATAATGACAGCCATCTAAATGCAAAGCAAATTAATCCTAGATCTTTCAAGGAGACATAAACATGGTAACTGGTACTCTCTAACTGAAAAATAAACAATAAAATAAACAGATATAGAATTCTGATTTTTCTATTAATACCTCAAACTACATACTATTGTTCATTCTTTTAATTTTAATTTTAATATACCATGTTTTTAAAAGTACAAGCACAGAAACAGATTACACATAGCAGAATCTTCAGCCATGAAAACAGATTCAGAAATGCATTAAAAAACACTCCAAGAGCACACAAATTTGAGTTCAGTGATGAAACTTTTGAGTGGATAAGTTTTAAATTCTAATTCTATTCTTAACAGAGACATGTTTTATTTCTTCATTCAAATATTTATAACTCTTCCTACAGCAGTAAATTATAAAATAATAAACAACCTACACAGAAACAGAAAGTTCTGAGCTACTGTCATTGAGACCAAAAGCTTTGGTAAATATCAAAAACAAAAATAAACTTCACCTGGGACTAAAATGAAAGCAACAGCAGCACTACAGCTAAAAATGCCTTTCCTCATATCCACATGTAATGTATAGTTGTGATGGACACAGAAGAAACCCTTCACATTATCTTAAAAAGGACAGATATATCCATAGAACAATACCTCCTTAAATATAACAGAGGGATCTGTACAAAAATACTTTGGATTCTGTACAGATTGAAACATCAACGGAAAGAGAAATGCAGGAAAGTAAGCATCAGTTTGATGCCAGTATACTGTATATCAGAGAGGAATTTATGAGGAGGGAATTAGTTTTGTTGCATAGAGTATGACATATTTTAAACACGCCCAAAAAACCTAATGCCACATTATACTTAATATAATGTGTTAAATCATTAATCAAAAATAGCTGGCAGAAATAATTAAATCAGAGACTTTAATACAAGGGTATTATTTTGAGTCCCAGAACATATCATAGAAAATACTGAGACACTTACATCCACCAAGAGCTCTACTCAGCTGCTCCATCTTTTCTTTGGCTGTTTTGAGAAGGCGCTGTTCTAACTAAAAGGAAAGAAATAAAATGAAGAAAATATGAAAACTTTGTATTTTGAATGAATACAGTTGGAAAATGATTTAACACAACTATTTGTAATCATACTTGATAGCTGAGCTCATGGTTCTTAAACCTTGTGTAATAGTGCATAAATCTATCAAGTTCTTGAAATCTTTTGTGTTTCTTTTCAGCCTGAAAACAATGGTAAAAAAAGGAGAAAAAAAAGTTAGCTGGTTTTAATTTTACCCTCAGAAGCAAGAGCAAAGATTCCATGAATCCTTAAATTGTGAACAATCGAGATATACTCACAAACGGTAATGAATATTGCACAAATAAATAAGTCATCTCTTAGTTCAACACTGAATTCAACAATCAAAATAAAGTAGTTAGAGCTTCAAGAAATGTATATACCAATTTTGAACTCACAATACACTGCAAGTGTTCTATTAAATTATACTTTGTGTTTTAAAAGTCAAATGAAGCCAAAAATCTCTTGATTTTGTCCGGATACAATACCCCATTCTAAGATGAGATGGGTAATAGCATGTAGCAGGGAATAGGTCTTCCATAATGATTTATTTAATTATAAAAGGGATGTTCTAAATAAAATATCAGGTCAGGCCTCATCTACTTATTAATTAGAGATTCTGGCCGAATACAACTGTTTACAAGAAGCAACTTTCTGACTACAAAAATGCAGCTCTTTTTTCTTTTTGTAGTGGGCAGGAGCCTTAAAACAGAAGCCTCCTCCACCTCTTTCCCAGACTGCCACTTTTAATATAATGTAGATGGCAGGACATTTTAATAAACTCAAAATGTACAGTAATACTGCCATGTTGCAATGAATGAGCTGCAGCATTAGATTTTTTTAAAAAAAGACTAAGTAATGCAACTTTTATTATGAACCAGTAAATCAAATTGTGATATTGGTAAATGATGTTCTGGCTCACATTCAAAACAGATTTTCAAAAACATGATTTAGTTCCTGTCACTCACCAAGAAAGGCTTTGATTTTTCATTTCACATCTGTTTTTTGTACCTTAAATGCTGAACACTGATTGAAAATCTGGCTGGCCTTCAATCATTGCTGAGTTTGACCTTTGCCCAAACTTCTGATATGCACAGAAGATACTGGTGAAGAATCTTTATGAAGGTTATATTACATATTTTGGAAACAGATAGATGGATGATGAATATTTAAATAACAAAATTAGTTTTCAAGGTTAGGTTCACACATCATTTTAGGAAAATATGTCAGCTTAATATGGTGCATTTAGCTAACCAGGGTTAAACAAACACAGCTTAGCACAATGTGTGAACCAGCCATAATTATTCAAAAACAGAAAAAGAGAAAAATAACATGAGATGATGATGATAATAGTAATCTATTCCTGAAAATAAATCAGTTTCTTACCTCTGCTGTCATTTCCTTAGATTGTTCTTCTACGTGTTGAATTACTTCATAGCGAGTACATCTATAATATCCTCCAGTGGAAGAACTATGTTTTTTCCATTCTTCAAGGCATATCCAACAGAAATCATATTTACACTAGAAAAAGGAAAAGAGAACTATTTTTTAATTTTGTTACGTCAAACATTTGCAATCTAAAATTAAATAGGAAAATCTGACAAAAAACAAATTAAAGAATTTCTCAGTACATATACAGCGTTCTGGTCTATGCTATGCTATGCTATGCTATGCTATGCTATGCTATGCTATGCTATGCTATGCTATGCTATGCTATGCTATACTTTTTACGAAAGCTAAACAGGATCTTAATTCCATTGAAGCATACAAAGCAAAGATGCTGGAAACATTGTGAAAAGCTTGGCATTAGCCTCTTGGCTGAAACAACTGCAGCAATTTAATAATATAGTAGTAATATATACAGTGATTGAATAAATAAACAATTTTACATCTTTTACTCTTTACTATATAATGCTGAATCATAAGTAACAGAAAAAATGATTTTTTTAATGCAATATAACTTTTTCTAAGATCATGTATGATCAAGCAGCATATTTAGCTGTACCTGCATCTCTCCAGGAAATGACTGGTACCATTAAATCTATGAAAAGAGGAAAACTGCCAGGTCCGGATGATTATCCTAACAATAGTATAAAAGATACACTGTTTTCTATTCTCTGTTACTGGAGGTTATTAATGACCTCCAGTAATAGAGGTCTTTTCAAATAATGCTTTGTCCTGGCTTCCTATAGTAAAGCCTATTTAGCTATAATTTTGAAAGCTGGTAAAGACCCTGCCAATTGGTGAAATTATTGTCCAATTTCTTTACTAAAAGTTGATACATACTGACAGCAGCACTGGAAAATAAATTACAGAGGATATGATCTATTCTGCACAGTTGAGTTTTATGAAAGGTTGTCAGATTATTAGTTCATATCTTGTCTACGTAATCCGAAAAAGTGCAGCAGTGGTGATGGAATGGCTGGATACAGAAAAGGCTTTTGATATGGTAGAGTGGAAATTTTTGGAAGAAATATAAATTGCTTCTGGTTTTTATCAGCTGGATTAGCTGGAACGTGTGATATTCTATTCCTTCTGCTAGGGTTATTACAAATGGAATTATATTATTATGATGTCTTCAACAATATACCTTAATAAACTCTTTAACAAAGTCTAAAATTGTCAGGCCCAGCCATCCAAGTTCAGTTCTTTTATTGCTTACATCATATAGACAAAATCTTGCCAGACTATACTGTTGCAACAAGTGGATATACCCTGGGAGATTCTAGGGAGAAGCTACTCTAAACTTCTTACACTTCCCCTGCTCCTGCTCTGGACTGTGCTGTTTCTTGTCTCTCTGCCCTTCCTGGAATGCTCCCTCTCCTTCCTGAGAACCTTGCTCTCTACTGCAATCCACAAAAACTGATTAATTATGGACTTTCGGGGAAGAAATAGCGAAGATGGCTCCACTAAAAGTGGAGTCAATGACGGTGATGGAATGAAGAGCCAGCAAGTAGTCCGGCTCTTTTTAATTCCTCTCTGGACAAGGAGAGGGTTTAAGATCACCCACCAGTGCTTCAGACAGTTGCTCCTCACGAGGAGACCACAAGACAGCAGTGGGTGGATTTATTACTCTGGGAGATGAAGGAAAGCCATCTCCGTTCAAACCACAGTGGGCATCCTTATGGACACTGGGTTTGAATGCTTCCTTTTCTAATCATTTTTGGAAATTGCTTATTAATTGCTTTTCAGCTATTAGGAACCTTTGGATCGACAAGTTTTGGACAGCACCAGGTGATTTTCCTTCAATTCCTTTTCTAATCATTTTTGGAAATTGCTTATTAATTGCTTTTCAGCTATTAGGAACCTTTGGATCGACAAGTTTTGGACAGCACCAGGTGATTTTCCTTCAATTCCTTTTCTAATCATTTTTGGAAATTGCTTATTAATTGCTTTTCAGCTATTAGGAACCTTTGGATCGACAAGTTTTGGACAGCACCAGGTGATTTTCCTTCAATCCTTAGCAAAAGAAGTTTTAAATATAGGTTTAAGGACTTAATTTTTTGGGGGGGGGAGGGATAAACAGCAAAAGGATGATTAGAATGTTGATTTTGAAATTAATTATAAGAACCCTTCCCATGGGAAAATCCTACTGTTTTGAATTCTTAAAAAAAAAAAACACATGATAGGATGGGACTTTGAAGGTTGGACACTAGAGGGACCAGAAGGAACTAAAGCTTACAATTAAAGGAGAAGAACTCTTAAATTTGACTTGCTAATACAGAATGGAGCAAAATACTTTAACATTGGACGTACTGAAGGATATGTTTAATAAATTATAAAAAATAAAACTGATAAATTATTTTTATTAACTCATAATAATTCAGACTT